ATTCTAAGATTCTATGAAAGCACATAAAACTGTGCCTTCCAAACCCTCCCCAAAGCCAAGGTTACCCTGCCATGGGCACAGAGGGGCTCAGCACCACAGGCAGAATGATGGTGGAGCATCCAGCACCCACAGGAGCAGCAAAGGATCCCCCAGGACACCCCAGGCTGCAGAGGTCCATGGCCCTCTGAGCTCTGCCATGCTAATTGATGTTTACTGGATGATTATGTGTTATTATTCCTACCTGGGGAATGGGGAGGTTCCCAGCCAGCCTGGATGCTGCTCTCTCACATTTAAAACCAGAATAAAAATCATCCCCCTGTGGCAGAATTAACCACGAAGCAGCTCCGGCTGAGCCGAGAGCAGCAGCATTTCTGAGGCAATGAAATGTGCAGGGCTTTTGGAGGGTGTTTATGGAAGATGAATTTTGCATTTACAACATCCTGGCCGGGTCCTTGCTTAGGAAGGTGCTGCTTCACCCATCAGGGAGCAGAACCACTTTGCACGACCTCGGCGCTTCATCAAGGCGTTCGACGTGATTAGCACAAACAAGTGATAGATCATTAGCTGGAAAAAGAAGTGCTGGAAAATCAGGAAGGAAAAAAATATGTCTTGGTGCAGCGTGTTTTCAGGTGGGGAAGAGGCAATGAAAGGAGAGGGAGCTCCTGTGCACCTCCCAGCACCCACTGCTGCCTCCTGCACCTGCAGGAAGCCCCTGATTTGGGATCAGGGCTTACAGGGAAGGGAGGAGACCTTCTGGGCTGTGCTTCTCTCCACTAGCACAAGGATGTTCCTCTCAACGAGCCCTGTGAGTATTTTGATCATGCTGCTTTTTAGTTCTCATGTTTACAGCCCTTGATTAGGTGGTGAAACCTTTCGGAGCTGGCAATCCCTGCCCTGGGTTCGACGGAGCTCTGCTCGCTCCCAGCTTTTAAAAACAGCCAGATTTGTCCTTCTATCAAGAGCTGCAAAAATCTTTGGCCCCAGTTCTGCTGATGCTTATGCAATCTCAGTGCTGAAGGATGCCCACCACCCCTCTTGGATGGCCGGGGGTGTACGTGGGAGCCAAGTCAAACCTGCTGCACGTGGAACCAACCCTGCAACGGCCTGAACTCGCACAGGCAGCACATCCAGCGAGGAAAAGGGGTTGTTGCAGCCTTGGAGTCATAAAATCACTCTAGGCCTGCAGGGCTGATTTAATTGAAATGCACTGAGCTTTTCATACATTAAAAAAACCAACCGTCTCCCTGACACCCAGACAATTAATGCTTCAGGACTGAATTATAAAGCCACTTTTCCTCGACATAACCAGCACTTTTCCTGTAAGACTCAGTCTTTCCCTGTGAAAGCAGAGATTCTCTGCACATGCAGGGGGTGCTGGTGTGGGCTCTGTGACAGACTCAGTATTGAAATGGAAAGTTTTTAAACAAGGGGGCTCTTGGTGGCCCCACATTTGTCACTGCATTGTCCTCACCTGCTGTTTGATCGCTGGGGGCCAGCCCTGGGTGCACCCTCACACCCCACCAGCAAAGCAGCCAAAAGCCTGTCACGAGCAACGTGACCAATTCCACTTCAATATTTTATTTTGTGTTTGTTTTGTTGTTTTTTTTTTTCCTGGTAGAAACTGTTAATTGAATTTGTCTGTCCATGAAAAACAAGAGGCAGCTCAACGCTGGGCAGCAGCTGAGAAGAGCCACGGTGCAGGTCCCCTCACCAAGGTCCCTCCAACACCAACCTACCCCAGCACCCAGGGCTAATTTGGGGGCAGGACATGGTGTAACTCTGCCAGCACCCAACAGATCCACTGCTAGTCCATCCTGGAACCCCACGCAGCTCCACTAATGCAACACATCTCAGCCTCCAGCTCCACCCAAGCCTTGCTCTGCTTGTGGGCAGAAATGGTGTTTGTTTGCTACAGCAACGCTGAGAAATGAATTGCTGCTTTAAATAGGGTCAGGACCGTTTCTCTTTTCCCCCTAAGAGCTATTTGAAACCAGGTGCTGCGGGAAGAAAGCCTGAAACAGCTCCTAATAACCACCCCTAAATCGTGCGCCTAAAGAACTCCAAGCGCCTGGAAGCAAAGTTTCTTTATCCTTCTCTCCCCCGGATTGGGCTGTGCAACTGTTGCTTCTGTGCTTTGTGGGAGTGAAATCAAATGTCAAATATTCTGCTTTGGAAGGAGTTGGCAACGAAACATGAAAGGCTCATGGAGAGCTCGAAAAGGAGTGCGGAAAAATTGGAGCAAAGCACAGACAGGGCTGGGACAGGAGCCAGGGGAGCGGGGAAGGACTGTGCCTACAACCACAACTCCAGATTTTAGGATGAAGTGACTACTTTCCCTAATGCATTTCAGCAGAAAGCTGATCCTAGCTGCTGCTAGCACAGAAGGAGGATGGGCTCCACGCCGAGATGTTACATCTCTTTGTTGGGAAGCATCCACACATTTTGGTTTATTCAGCACAATCACAGCCCTACACCGAGCCCTGCGTCTCATCGCTGGGCTCTGCCCAAAGCCACGGCCAGAAGGGCTCAGGACCTGCTCCCCACCACGACTGGGGAGCACATTTCTTACCTTAATTCCACCAAAAAAAATAAAACAAAACCCAGCCCGTTTTTTGAAAGGCATGTTTTGACACAGGCATGTGTCCTGTTCCTTTCTCAGCACAGATTTAAAAGCACAGGCTCTGGACAATCCTCCCCCAGCACGTTCATGGGTAAGAACAGCTGCTCTCTCTGTCATTTTAACTGTGGCAGAATTTCGTTTTGTTCCAAATTTCAAGACTCCAGAAGACATTTTTTGCTGTGTATTCTCAGCATTTCTGAAAGGCACTTCCCACCATTTACAGCCTCAGCCCTCTGAAGCTGCTGGACCTGCCTCCTCCTCCTCTTGGTGCTGACCCCTTTTCAATCATCAGCCTCCTTTATAGAGCTCTCAGGGTAAAATATATTCTCCCCTCCACTTTGCTGAACTATCACATTGCCAGGATGAGGGCACTGGGGTCACAGGAGCTGACAAAATCCATATGCAATGGTATGCTGGGACTTCTGGACCCAAGGCACACACATCTCTACAAGGGCAAAAGGCAGATCCTACGGCAATTCCTGCAAGGAATGAGACACAACCTCCCCCAGATGCTGGAGGCTCCCCAAGGCAAGTGCTTTGCCAGAGCCATGGCTGAAAATGGAATTAACGTCCCAGGAATATTCTATTATTTGCTAATTCTCTTCGCATCTTTTTGTTTCACAATTAAGCAAATTAGTGCTTTGATGAATATTAAGGCGCTCTCGCCTCATAACAGATGAGTTGGAGGCATTCCCACTGGATTTTCCTCCAAATGAAAGCAGTTCCTCAACTGTTTGAGATACACACTGGACTGTTTCCTCCCTGACGAGAGCACGAGGAGCACGTGGCTCCTGCAGGAAACAGCCAAGCACTAACATTTTAATAAAATAATTCTATTGCAAAGTTTGCCTAGATCCTCGTTATTACCATCCAATCCAAGTCCAGGCTGGAATGGGATCCTAAATTTGAGGCTGTTCCTGGCACTGTCTATGCCTGAGTTGCTACAACAAGCATATAATGCCTCCTTCAACCACAGGGGTTCATTCACTCGAGTCTCTTAGCAGGGAGAGGACTTTGCACTCTTCTAAAAGCATTTATTCCCTGGCTATAAATGACTTCATAACCAAGCAAAGGATTTCCTGTTTTTTTTTTTTGTTTTTCTACAGTTTTGCTGGCTTTGGGAGGAGCTGGAAGCTCCCAGTGCAAGGTGAGCTGGTGGGACAGCTGCTCCCTCTCTACCTCCATCAGCACATCCCTGATCCCTTCACACTGATACCCCCTGGAGCATCTCTCAGAGCAGCTGGGAGGGAGGGCAGGTATTTGTTTACCAGCAGATGTGGAAAGCTGGGAGTGACCAGAGGGTTAACTCACCACAGAACAATTTAACAGCATCCAGACACCTTCAGGTGCAACCCTGCCCCTCTCTCCACCACCCACAAGGCACCAGCTCCATTAATCTGAATTACACAGTCCTCAGTAACAGCCAATAAAATTCTCAGCAGAGCCAGTGAACCCAGAAATCTGCTTTAACAGTGGGGACTTCATGTGGTTTTGTGTCTCAGAGAGGAACAGAAGGTCCCAGATTATTTACATCGGGCTGGCTCCCCTAAGCAACAGACTCCTGTGGACTGCCAGCCATCAATTCCCATCCTAATCATTTTGGTTGTGCTTTTTCTGTCCGGGGTGGGCACCACCCTCAGGGCAGCAGCAGAACTGGCACAGTGAAGGATGGCACAGAGCAGACTCGGTGTTAATGGGGCTTGGTCCCCCCTCTGTGCAGCAGAATCACTCACTACAACCTCTTCAAATATACTGATAAATAAATAAGTAAATAAAATGAATAGCTAAAAAAAGCCATCATAAATTCAGCCATTTCAGGAAGAATTTAGTCATGGAAAGGGTGGTCAGGCACTGGAAGGAAGGGGCTGCCCAGGGAGGTGGTGGAGTCCCCATCCCTGGAGGTGTCCAAGAAACAACTGGATGTCACACTCAGTGCTCTGGGCTGGGGGGACAAGGTGGGGATCAGTTGGACTCGATGATCTTTGAGACCTTTTGCAACTTTAATGGTTCTGTGATAAAGAATACTCAGACAAAGCCATGCAAACCCCCAGCCTGCCAGCCTGGCTGCACAAGGAGCAAGTCTGGAATGCCTGTGGCTCAGGATTTAGGCAGGGATGGCTCAGAGCCCCAAATCCCCTCTGAGCAGCTCAGTTCAGTTCCCAGCCCTTCCAGCCAAGAGCAGGCAGGTACAACTCTCTCCCCTGAGTACTGACGACCATCTCTGGGCAGAGGCAGATAAATCTGAGCTCTGATGCTCCATCCACACGAACCAACCCCGGCACCACGGGGCAGGACAGGCAACCTCAGCTCCATGTGCTCCAACAACACATTGCTCATGGGATGAAGCCACAACCAAAGAGATCTGGAAGCAGAGCCTCACCTGGCGCTCTGACATGACGTACAGGTACTTCTGGTCGATGGAGAAGGCCATGTCTCGAAGGACTGGGCTCCCGTCCTTGAAAACTGTCACCACTTCATACTGAATTCCACCATGGGGAGGACCATCTGCTCGGATCTGGAAGGAGCACAAACAGATTAGAGGTGACTTCACAGCAGCCAAATTCCGGTTTTATTTTGGGGGATGGAAGGGGGATGGAGAGAAGGAGGAGGAGGAGGAGGTAGGAAAAGGAATCTAATTCAAAATCTCAGCTCGCAACCTGGAGAGAGAGGCAAAGAGCCAGCAGGCAGAGCATGGGGGCAGGACTTAGAGCAAAGGTTCCTTCTCCACTGAAGTTGGTGGGATTTTCCCAATCCATGGGAAATAGTGAGAAAGTTTTGTAGTTGCAAGGTGAGCACAGACACTGCCAGTGTGCTGTGACTGACCACTGGCACCCAGGAGTAACAAAGACTGCAGTAAACTTCTTTAGATTCTCTCCAAAACAAGCCTGAAAGAAAACCACAAGACTCTACAGGCAACAGCAAAGCCAAGATACTGCAGAGATGTTTTTTTAATTCTCTAGACACCTACAGAATGACACTCAGACAATCTCTATCACCTCCTGGTGCCACAGAGGCCTAAAAAACTTGGTGCCTAAAAACTTGGAGAGGCTGCTGCTACTTTCATATTTGCAGGACTCAGTGAGATGAACCCAGCAGAGCCAGCACAGAACTCACAGAGCACCACATGGCCTGTTCAGCTTGACAGGCTCCAAGCATCCATCCATCCCTCCAAACCACAACTCCCTGCTCCTGCAGGAAAACCTGCCCAGGCTGTGACAAACCCCGTCCCTGCCAGCGGCCGCCGCCGAGGAACGTGCCATCTCTTCCCAAAGTTAATAATTTATGGCCTCGGGGGCTGCTCGAGGGGAAAGGGAGGAGGATAAACAAACTATTTACATTGTCTTTCCCACCAGGATTTGCATATTTGGAGAGCCTTTTGATTGCAACACGGTGTCTGCAGAGCTCGGAGCTCTGGCAGCCGCCAGCTGAGAGCGGCCAGGCGAGCCAAGGGCTCACAGCGACAGCGATGCCGGGAGAGGGGGGCCAGGAACACTCCCGTGGAGGAGAGGGAATACAGGGGGCTAACAGCCCTGGAAAAACCTCTTATCACAAAGATGCCATCTGCTCTCCAGCCTCATGCCGGGCTGCCTTGCTGCATCCCGTTTTTCTGCTCAGTTCCCGGCTGTGGCAGGGAGGAAAAGGCAGGGAGAACGTGGAGTGTGAACCTTCAGGAGGGGCAGGATGGAGCAGCAGAGAGGGATGTCTTTTTTTCCCCTGGTTTGTCTCCCCAGGAGGTAGGACAGCAGGTTGTTAAGCATCTGAAGATTTATCTGAGAAATGTGCCACCCCAGCTGGAAATACAGGGATATCTTCACACTCAGAGGGGAGAGATGCTCCCCCTGCACCCTCCTCCAAATAAATCCTCTTCTTGGAAAGAGCCCTGGTGCTCCCTGCCTTGTGGAGACATGTTGGGTACACAAATGCATTTATTTTCTGGATTTCTCTCTTTTTCTCCTTACCTTTGGAGTTTTTAGTGCTGTAAAAGGACATCAGGTGGGAATCAGGTGAGTGGTCTGGTCGAACACCCACAGTCAGGCACAGGGATTAACCCACCAGCCCAAACCTGCCTCAAAAGCCCTGAATTTTCAGAAAAACAAAATCCCCCAGAAAGGCAGAAGGTCAAATCCTGCTTTAATTCCACCTGTGAGAATCAGGATCTTCACGAAATCCTGAGAACCAGAGGCAGGTTCACACCAGTACGAGACCAGTGTTGCAACCCGAGTCACTCACGGAGCCACCAGCCTGCACCACGGCCACAGGGACAGGGCTGCAAAATCACCTGAGGAATAAGGAGCAGGAAGGCTGGGCTGTCAGGGATACACAGCCACTTCCATGTGAACACCTGATTAATGGCCAAACGGGAATGGAAGTGCCGGACATGAAGGATCAGCAGCCTTTGTGAAAAACAACTGTTTTTCAGAGTTCCCTCAGGGCACGGGCAGCTCGTTAAATTGAGCTCCTTTCTAGTAATGAGGTCAGACAGGGCTAATAAAGAGAGATACCACTGGACAAGCCTTGTGCAGGGCAATTCCAACTGGGAATTGCGGCTCTGGGCTGGAGGCAGCAGCACCACGTGACTGATGGCTCCCCCAGCCTTGGAGCTGTGCCTGGCACGGGTGTCCTGGGACACGGCTGGAGCCCTGCCCGGGGTGCTGGGTGCTGCCTGCACCCTCCTGCCCCTCCACAGGCAGGGGAGCAGCCCGGGGGTCTCTCATGGAGGCTGCTGAGGTGAGATATCTCAGAGCCCAGGGCGAGGGCAGGGCAGAGCCCGCTGCCCCCCTGCCCTGCACGCCGTGGTGGGTGTTAAACCCCCTGGGTGCCCCCCAGCCCCCTGCCCACAGCACCGTGTTGAGAGGCACCCACCGACACCAGGATGCTCCACTGCATCTCTTCCTCAGGGTTTGGTTTCCATGACAACAAATGATGATGTCAGAGAAGAGCGATGATTCCTGCGACCGGCGGAAGAAGAAAGGGATCATCCCCCCAGCAGGAAGCTGCTTGTTGACGTTTGGAGAGAGAAATAATTCCTCTGCCTAACGTCTGGGTGCCCTCCTGGGGCCAAACAACTCCTGACCCATCACTAGAAGAGTGACGTGGTGCCAACCCTGCGAGTCTGGGCTCAACCCAAGCCCAGGTCCTGGCACAGCGATGCAGGAGAGGGACGGGGCTGGGCTGTGGTGGTCCTGGTTCATGACATCCCCCCTAAATCTACCTGCATGTCTTCTCTCACAACACAGTGATGGGAACAGGAGGGGTTTAGGAGAGAGACAGAGGGAAGCAGAGCAGGTTGGAATGGGTGGGAGCACAGTGAAACAGAGAGCAGACAGGTTATGGGGAGCTGTACATCAGTGAGATGGAAACCAGGATCAGAGATATGTCCAGAGAGACAGCAGAGACCAGGAGGACAAACCACAGGCTCCCACACTTGGCCATGAATTGGAGAAGCTGTTTGGGCCAGATACAGCACTTCCCTCCATCTCTCCTGATGGATGTTTAGAAACCTGGCTTGAAAAGTGCCTAATGACATAATCTGCAAATCCAAACATCATCCCTGGCTCAGAGGACGCTGGGCCAGGGGAAGGCCCCACGTGATGGAGCAGAATTCAGGGAGCTGCAGCCCTTCAAAGGCTCTGCTGAGATTGATCTCTCTAATACCCCCCCAATGCAAGCTGCAGGCATAAGCTCAGCATTATCTGCCCAGATTAGTGAAACACCACATTGTGTCACGTATATGTTGCAGTGAAGCTCCCGTGTAGGAGCCATTCAAGGATCTAATATGACATGAAGCTCCAACACACCTCTTGTACTAAAGCTTTCCCTTAGGTATTTTGCCCAGCCAATGCCAGAGGTAAAATATATCTGCATTCCTTTCCAGATTCTCCCAGCAGGCTCCCATTAGAAGACATCGGATCTCTTTGTAGGAACTTTCCATGATTAAATTACCTGTCTGTTTTCATTACCAGTGTTTCCACGAGGCTGACTCATGATGAAAAGCCTGATGTCAGAAAAACAGCTGAATAAGCCCATCCATGAAGGGACTGATTCCCCATCTTGGATCCTACACCAAGGCCACCCACTAACTCCTCAAGAGCTGCAGCTTCTCCCCACGTACACAGGTGCCTGGTGGGTCCCAAAGCACTCTGGATTCCCAGGGTCAGGAGCACAAAACATGCTGGCTGAACTTGCTGATTTTTTGTCTGTAATGGCAACAAAGGGAAAAGCCCAGACAACCCCAGAGCCTTAGGACTGCTCCTTTCATGTCAGGCTTTCTAACCCTTCAGGGTGAGGAAATACTATCCAGTAACGTGGCATTTGTGTAAAATGGATGTTTTGAGAACTGTATCTGTTCTGGGAATGTGCACTGGAGCATCACAGCCTGAAAAAAAAACCTGAAAACAAGGAGCAGCCTTTGCTGCCAAGGTGCATCTTTGCAGAATTGCCACTTTCTTTGACATTTACACCTGCACATCTCAGCTCTTGGGCAGTTCCCACAAAGCTCTAGGATGGATTTCCTCCTTCAGGACTGGAAATTTAGCAGGAAGACTGTTCCTGGCAGCAGGTTTCTGAATCAGGCTGGAGCACAGTTTAGTTTAAACAGCCTTTCCCTACCTCTTTCTGTCTGTGGTTTTGTGGAGTCTTTCCTCCCTAGACCTGACCATAAAGAAAGCTTCCACAAGCAGGAGACTCAGCAGTGCCAGAGCTCCCAAAGACAGGACAAAACAAACAAAAACCAGCCCAGATTTCCTCTGTGCCTCATCCAAATAATCTTTGCAAAAAGGATTTACTTTTGCTAATCCAGTTTAGTTTCAACTGGGCTGTTCTACCTTCACACCAGACCAAAAAGGAGGCGAGATGCACATCTCAGGATCATTTTACAGGGCTACCAATGCTGGCTGCTGATGGTTCTACATCCTCTGACACCCACAGCAACCTCCAGGAGAGGAGAACCCAGAATAGAAATTGCAAATCATCGTACAGGAAGTTTCCAACAGCCCTTCAGACCTATTAAGAAATTATTCTGGGAGTAAAGTGCTCCCTCAGAGCACTGTTGACACCCAGATTGGACCCATTTCCAGGTTGTTAACAAACCCAGGGAAGCCAAGGGGTTTGCTGAGGATTGCACACCCAGCCCACAGATGTGCAGGAGCCTTGATAGGATCCCTCACCACATCTCCAGCCACAGGAGGAGAAGCCCAGCCCTGAAGAACTTTCTGTGCACGCACCTTCCACAGGCAGGAACTCCAGGGGTGTGACTTGGCTCCCTGCTCTCCATGTGGGAATTCTCCCCCTTGAAACTAAAGTGAAATAGTGATGCCATTAGGTATCTTCCCTTTAAATCATAGATGTGTCTGTGAGGAAGTTAATGACAAACCTTACATGCACATTCAATTCAGATCAGCATATCCAATTAACTCCACTACCTGGAGGCTCCCTCATATCCCAGTCTCTCTCTCTCCTGTCACAATTTCTTTATGCATTTCTCCCAAATTAGGATAGAATATGTCTGTCATAGTG